CTCCCTCTCCCACTCTCCCTGCTTGTGTTCCCTCTCTCGCTGTGTCTCTCTCTGTCAAATAAATAAATAAAATCTTTAAAAAAAAAAAAAAAAAAGAATGAGGTACAGCCATGAAGCTTTTTTGGAATTATACCTATAATAAATTTATGTGTTTCTTTCAGATAACAGATAGCACGTTAATCCAACTTTCTATACACTGTCCTCGACTTCAAGTATTGGTAAGTTTGACTTTTTAAAAGTTTTATGTGTTCATTGGATTTAATCAAAACCCAGCTCTTACTTTCTTCTTGGTGTCTGGCTTCCATTTGGGAAAAGCATATTTCTATAAAGTACCAATTTATAGAGGACCAAGGGATTATGTATCAATACTTGGAGGTAGAAAAGTGACATGGAGCGTATGAGTTCTCCCTCCCACATGAATTACACTTCAGCCTGAATGATGTTTAAATTTCAGAGATCCAGGAGACAAGATGGCCCCAAATAAAATTTGCTTCACCTTGCTGCGACTAAATGATCCTGTAAAACAGAACTAATCAAGGCTTTACTAGGGGTGTTCTCTGCTACTGTTTCCAGTAACACTGTGGGAAAGCATTCTGCTTAACTATTTTGTGTCCAGGCTCATTTTTTGTGTGTATTTGGTATGTTACTGTCCAGAATTGGGACAAAGGGTTCTGAGTTTCACGTGGAGGAACCAGGGATTTATGGAAAATTGATAAAGGGATTTGTGTGAAGAGATGACCACACCTGACAAGTGTATGAATCCTCTTCAGTTAGTTAACTGTATTGACATTCTCCTATACCAGGTATTCAGTATTTAGTCCAAATTCCAGAAAGTTTTGTTCAAGAAAACCTTGAGCCCCTCTTGTCCCAGTAGAAAAGTGCTAATTTGTATGTGGGGGTGGGTATCATGTTTTGTTCATGAACTAAAAGTCATTGCATGAATTCACAAGGTATATTTAGAATCATACACAGAAGGACACCTGGGTGGCTCAGTCGGTTAAGCGTCCAACTCTTAATTTTGGCTCAGGTCATGATCTCAGAGTTGTGAGATTGAGCCCCATGCTGGGCATGGAGCCTGCTTAAGATACTCTCTCTCCCTCTGCCCCTCCTCCCCTCCCCAAAAAAGAATCACACACAGAAACGTCAGTCATTGATATTCAAAAGCAGAACCCCAGGAACTCTAGTTTGCTCTTCTTCGTTTCACCACATGGATCTGGTGATGGCTCCATATACATCACAATCTAATCCAGAAGATGTCCTTTCTGGCTGTGCACAGGCCAGGGGCTAGAAGAATGCCGTGAGATGTCTCAGTGTCCTCCTTGCTCTACTTGGCTGCAGAGTCTGTCTCACTGTGAGCTGATCACAGACGATGGAATTCGTCACCTGGGGAATGGGGCCTGCGCCCATGACCAGCTGGAGGTGATTGAACTGGACAACTGCCCACTAATCACAGATGCTTCCCTGGAGCACTTGAAGAGTTGTCACAGCCTCGAGCGGATAGAACTCTATGACTGCCAGCAAATCACACGGGCTGGGATCAAGAGACTCAGGGTAAAGACGGCTGCGCACTCCCCAGCTCTGGTGCTCTCAGCACCTTTTCTTCTTTCTTTTTTTTCCCTCCTCCATTTCCTTTTTGTTTGTTTGTGTTTGTTTTTGTTTCAGATTTAGATTTCTGTGATTTTTATATTTACTTGGACATTCAGCAAAGAGGAAAAAAAATGGAGAGCAAACCTAAGGGTAGTTTTTACCTGTTGTTCCAGATGGGAATTTAGTGGGAAAATACCCACTGAGGGAAAGAAAGTAGGTCTCCTCCCAGCAGAGTCTCTCCTGTAATGTCCAGGGCTTAATAACATGCCCAGAGTCAAAAACACATGCCAGATTCAGGAAAGAAAGAACATAAAGAAAATACTTAGTTAAGTGGGATTTAAGAATTTAATTTGTATTTCCTTTCACATCAAACCCTCTTGCTGGGGTTCTTATTTTTTAAGACAACAAATGGATTAAGTAGGGGGTTTTTTTGTTTGTTTGGGTTTTTTTGTTTTGTTTTGTTTTTACCTTTTAGCCCCATTCTCCATACTAAAGAGACCCATGCGTAGTCAAATGACTGGAAGACAGGTTGCCAGCAAGGAGGTTATAAAAGGATGGATGAATCTATGTTAGGTTATTCAGCTCAACAGACATTTATTGGAACATCTGCTTCACACCTGCTGTGGGAAAGGCACTGTGCTTAGTTAGGCCCTTAAAACCAGTGTCTGAAAACATCCATGTTGGCCATATGGCATCTGAGTGCATAAAGGAGCACCAAACCTCATCTTGAGTTCCAGTTGGCCTTAGTTCCTCCTCTCCCTTCTGACCTAGAGGACTGAGAGCATAACTGCAGTGGGGAAGCCTTGCAGCCATATTCCTTCTACACCAAAAGAGAGCCACAGGCCAACCATAGCCTCTTCTATGGCCTCCTTGCAGTAGGGGTCCTAGACCTCCTTGGTTGCCCAGAATCTCTTCCATCTCTGAGTCCTCAAGACTTTTTATCTGTTCTCAAATCATCACTTAACATTTTTTCGTTTTAATTTAGCTATTTAGGTCTAGACTGTTAAATTCCCTAAGAGCAGGGTTTCTGTGTTGACCATCTTTGTACCCCCTATGTAACTAGCACAGTGCCTTGAGTGTGGTAGGAATTCAGAAACCATTTACGTACTAAAAACTAGCAGTATGTTTTAAAAGTGGATAATGAGGTTTTTAAGAAAATATCAGAAGAAACGTTGTCCACAGTGACTTGGAAAAAATTATTTTAAGCTTGTATAGTTTCTTTCAACTTTGGGAATCCAACTAGCAATCCCTTTGGGACAGGTTAAGAGATTAGTATGACGTTTTCCCCCAGTTTTATTATTAAAAAGCAGATACCAAAGTTATGTGAGCTATTTAGTCATTTAGAATAACCTGGAATACTACAAAGCAGAACCCAGGTCTCTCAACATCCTGACCGGTACTCAGCCTCTGCCTTGCTTTCATGTTCACTCAGCCCCTGTGTTTTTTCTGAAAAGCAATGTTGCTCTTTCTGTTTTAGCCCTCTCTCTTAGTAATGTTTCTGTCTTGTTTCAGACCCATTTGCCCAATATTAAAGTCCACGCCTACTTCGCACCTGTCACTCCACCCCCATCAGTAGGGGGCAGCAGACAGCGATTCTGCAGATGCTGCATCATCCTATGACAATGGAGGTGGTCAACCTTGGTGAACTGAGTATTTAATGACACTTCTAGAGTTACAGTGGAGTCTCCAATGGAAGCAACCCCAGTGTTCTGGGCAAGGGTTACAAAGTGAGGGCAGCATCCAGATCCCCAGAGCCACACATAACATGCAAACCCACCCTCACCCCCACCCACTCTAGTTCTGTGACCAGGGGACTGAAGCCCACGCTGGCTTTATCAAGTGGATTGGTAAAACTTAACCATTCCTGTTGGACATGCCAAGAAGAAAATCATAGGCAAGGTGGAGGGAAGGGGGCATTCCAGCAAATGCAGAGTTACTGCTCCTGCCGTTTCTTCATTTTTTGAAGGGGTTTCTTTGGTGATTTTGGAACAGCAACTGCAGTCCTCCAGGGTCAAGGAAAGCATAGAAAAACAAGATATGTTGTATCCAGGGACCAGAAAGAAAAATTCTTTGCATCCTATACATGGTAGCCATCCCTCATGAGATGACTACAGAGCTTCTGTGCTTCCTTGTTCCCATGCCAACATGCTGAGCATGCTCCCAAAGAAGGCTCATCCATTCCTCCTCCTGTGTTTTTTAGTATTTGGCCCAGAGGTTTCCTAAAAGGTTGCACTGAAATCGCTGTGGTCCAAATGTGATTACTTACTCACTCAAATTGTCACTCTGTAGCACACTTGTGCACCTGTCTTTCGTTCTCTGTTGCTCCCTCCCGCACTCTTGCTCAGTCTGTCACCTGTTCATTGTGTGCTTACTCACACTCAGTTGTTACTCTTTTGCCATTGTGTTTACAGTGTGCATTTTGGATGATTAGTTGGGGTTACCAACCATTTTTAAAAGAGACATTATCAATAAATATTTTTTTAATTCTAAATTTTACCATTAGGGGACCCTGCCTGAATCTTTGCCAGTCTGAAGGGAAACTATCACAAAACCAAGAAATGGTATGAGAAGAAATTGAGTTAAAATTGTTTTGACGAAAACAAACTTTGCCTTTGGGTTTCTGTTATACCTTGTGATATATAATAATACGCATGATATGCGCAATGTTCTCCCTGCACATTTTTCTTCCCGTCAGACTCCACTAACTTAATAAGGAGAGAGAAATGCATTATTTGTAAAGAGTGAAATGGCGAATCCCAAAACTGAGCCCAAAAGCACCCCCCACCCAAGCTCAGACATGTCGGATGTTCACTGAAATCTAGGTGTGAGCAGTAGCATCCCTGATTTGTGTCTGTGAGGTTGTTTTGTTTTAGTAGGAGTGCTGCTAGAGTTGCTGTGCCATCTAGCTGGTCAGGTTCTCTCCCACCCCCCCACCCCCGTTCCAGCCTGTCAGGAATATCAGAATGATCCTAGAACAGGTGGTCAGCTGTATGTCAGTGTTGATGATGTATCTCGAATGTTGGCACCTCAAAGGACCAGAACCATTTCAAAACCTATCAACCCTATCTTTCTTACGCTCCGGACTTCCCATGAATGAAATACAGGGGTAACCAGGTGAAGACTTTGAGAGGAAGCAGGGGGTTCACTGTCTCTGCCCAGCATGGTCAGCAGAACTGAAGGCAGGTATTCAGTGCCCATGACTCAGAGGCAAAGAAGAGGCTTCCTTCCTTCCCCCGAAAAGTCATAAAGGATGAGGGAACTAAAATGAGCTTCTAAAGTATAAGAAGTAGATTTCTAAACCCCAAGGTTAGAAACCTCATGTGGTTTTTAATAGGACACTTTTTTTTTTTCCTTTTGGTCTTTTAGGACATTATTGTGCAGTCTGCCGTGATCTTAGATCATCTTCTGCATGATCCAGGCTGTTAAAAGGCTTGTTGTAATGCTGCAGGTGCTGGCTCTTCATAAAGCATGACTTAGTTCTCCACAAGCAGTTCGAGGAAAGGACACTAGAAATCTGTACTGTCCACCATTATTTTGCATGTTAAATTTATTTTAAACTCTCAAATTACTTTTAGTTTTCATTCCCCCTTCCCCTTAACCTCTTTTCAAATTATCATGTGAAGAATATACTTAAATTTCATTTTTATTTGAGTATAGTTGGCATAAGGATATACCTTTTAAAGTGAGACTCACTCTCCTGGTTATACCCCACACGTACAAATATACACACTTGCACACTCTTCCAGATGTGGTTAATATTCAGATCCCCGGGTCACTCATTCAAACAAAAGTAAAAAGAGGAATATTTAGGGGCCATCTGCTCTGACATATTAAGGCTTTTTTAGTATTGCCTGAACAAATTGACTATAAAACCCTGATTGATTAGTGAGTATGGGTTTAAATTGCCCACCAGTTGAGGACATTAAGGTACTTCTTTACTTAAAAAGTACATAAATGTAAAAGACCCTATTCACCAGGACATGAACATCTTGGAAATGCCGTTTCTCAACTCAAAGAGTGGACCCACGTGCAGGGCCCTGTGGACTTGCTCAGGCGATCCCTACCTGTCTGGGCCAAGAGCACAGTCCAGTGAGAGAAAAAAGGAGTGTGAGCACTGTGCTTGTATGTGGTCAGGCCTTGCTCCCTTCGCAAGAAAGCTTCAGGCAGGCCCATCAAGCTTGGAAGGAAATAGATTTTTTATGCCAATCTGCAACCTACACCAGCTGATGAAATGTACCGGGAATTTAAGAACCCAGAACATGGTAAGTTTTGGTCAGGTGGAAAGGGCCCCGCCATCCTGTCTTAATATCAGGGATACTTTTGAAAATTCAGTAAGGCTTCAGAGTTTAGGAAAGGCTTCTTGGCCCATTTGTCTGACTCCAGAGCCCCGGCCCTCTACGCCTTCTGTGATGAAGAAATACAAAGTGAATGGAGAGATTCGGGATAAGTCAGAAGGTACCCTCAGAGCTATTGCCTAGACCTGCAGGTAGCCAGGAGGGGTTATTGCTATGTCTGTGGAGAACGTTATTAAACATCCAGATCACCTCTTTTCCAAGCAGCCTTTCCCCCTACATTTTCCAGCATCATTTGCTACATCAGTATCTTTTCTGGCCTCTATACTGGCTCCATCAAGGTGATCCCAGCTTCTTCTTTTTTTTTTTTTGGACTGCTCCCATTTTCTTCCTGTACTCATTCTTGTCTTCTATTTAAAGCCTCCGTCTCACTCCCAATGATGCTGCTGATTTATTCTCAATGTCTCCAGTCTAGCTTCCTTTTTGGGTCCTTGTTCTGATCTAAGCAAAGTCTCTGGGCAGCCTTGAATACAGTAACTGTTGTGTGGTTCAGGCCATTTTTCACCGGGTGGTCTTGGACGTTTGCTTACCAAATTTGAAATCACGCTGTTGGATATGTAAGAATATTTCTTAAATGGTTTTTGTAAATTTCCACATCCATTAAGTTGATGTAGCAGACCTATAAGTCAGAAATTTTACATTTTCTTTACAGCACATATTTTAGAGGGACACCTGGCAAATATTTTTATGATGCTTTATTTTGGGCTTTCCAAACCATTTGAACTGTTGAGTACAGCTCTAATGCTACAGCAGTCGGGTTCTTTATTTCTCCTAATTGCCTTGTAAAATGCTTTGTTACCGGTTTGATGGCCCACTCATGCCGTGGGGGGTAAACAGGGTACGCGGGAACTTGTCCTGGTCTGAAGTTGTAGGGAAGTGTGAGAGTGGCACCGGAAGGAAGACGGGGCTGCCTGCCTGCCTGTGTGGACAGCGTATGTTCAGGGAACTGTGGTTTTGAAGAAGAGGAACACTTGTGGATCGTGGTTGACCCTTGGCCGTTTAATGTTTATTGTGCTGAAAGTCACAGGCTCCTTATGACAGGTGCTACCAGTGTGAGAGGAGGGACTTAAAGGAAATGGGTCTGTTCTGCCTTTCCCTCCTTGTGTGCATGGTCTAAGATTAGGTTTCCATCCCCATTGTGCATCCTGGCTGAGGGACTTTCAGTGGTATTCTTTGAGCTTCCGGAACTTTTTTTTTTTTTTTTTAAGATTGCCTTCTTATGTGTCCACCAGTTCTAGGATCTTTAACCACCTCAAACCCAGGCAGTGTGAATGAGCTGAGACTTGTTTGAGACGAGGGGGAGGACGTTTGGTTGGAGGTCTTGAGGCAAACCCTCCCCTTTACAATGATCTTGGACCAAAGAACCCTAAAGCAGTAGGAGGGTGAGGGGAAATATGGAGTCTAAGCTTCTCGTCACCTTTATTTCTATCATAAACTTTAATAGTAATATTGGAAGATACAGAAAACTATATAATACCATGTCAGTTGGCTATAATTAACCCAGGTAATTTGGGAATAACATTTGGCTCTATTTGCTATATCCAGGTGCCCTAACTGAACAGTTTGGTTCTCCAGCAAAGAACATGCTGCTCTAAGCTTGCCCTCTCACTTGAGACAAACTCTACTTGCCAGAAACTACCATTTGAGGCAAGTGCTTTTTCTGCATGAAGGGCTTCTGCAGCTCCCCCTCACAAGGCAAGTCTCTCTCTTTGTCCATTTTTATTCTTAGGAACATCAGATCTGCATCTCTGAAGGCTTTGACCCTTAGGAAAGTCCATAAGAACCTCTCAGCTGAGTCTGAGTGAATCTTTGGAGCCCAACAGAATTACACTTAATTTTCAGCAGGAAAAAAAAAATGTCTTGGGTAAGCTCACATGTGGGATATTAAGAGAAATTCCATAATGTGCTTCTTCCATCTCTGCCTCATGCGTTTTTTGAGTAAGCCCCCGGTGGAGTCTGGTTCGCAGGTGTTGAGTACCTCCTCAGCCAAGGTGTCTCACTGCCCTTTTAGGAAAAAGAAACATGAGCAACCAGAACTGTGTCAATGGACTCTTATTTTCTGTGTTTTTCAGTGTCTTGTTTTGAAGAATTGGGGTGGGGAAATGGTAATGAGATTGAAAGTAAAGGAGAGAATCGGCTCTGGAACTGGGGCACTTTGCTTCAGGTACAAGCATCTGTCCCGAATATATAGAAACACCTGCCTCACGCATGTGACTAGATTTGCTTTCCTCTGCATCCCGTGAACTCCATGCCCTTCTCACCGGCACGGAGGGCTTCTGCCTACCACGCACCCGACCAGTCACCCAGATGGGGATTGGCACCCCCCAAAGAACCCCCAGTGCTTCTGGGTGTGGCTCCCCCCACCCAGGGCAGGAGCAGGTAGGCAGTGAGTGAGAATCCCCACCCCAAGAAGAGATGGGAGAGGAGAGGTGTCCAGACACATACCTTTTCTCTTCTGCCACACCCCAAGAACCCAGGGAAATCTTTGAAGTGATATCTTATTTATTGAAGTGGAAGAAGAAATCTTTGCCCCACGACGAAGTTCCGCTTGTCACTGTTGCTTACTGCTTATTTTCACTAATTCAAATCTGTGTCTCACTGCTGCTCACACACGTGTTTCTTACCTTAGCCTAACCCTTCTCAGCCCCTGAAGTCATTATTTCTGTGTTGTTTTTCTTTCTTTCTTTCTTCCTTTTTTTTTTCTTATGGCACTAGTGAACGACAACCGAAAGTCTTAGAAAATCCTAACTTGAAAAAGGAGTCTCTAACTGGCATGGTTTGATTAATTACTTTACCCCCCCCACACACACACCCCCAAAGACTTGAATGATTTTCTTTCCTAGAGCTATATAATAGACCTGTAAAAAGTGAAACCTTTGCTGCTGCTTTTCTGGGTTTACATGTTTTTTCCTGCCCTTAAGAATCTTACCTGTGCTTCTCTGATGACTGTTACTTTCTAATAAGTGCAGGAAGGAGGTGAGCCTGAGATTTCTTCTCTTACTCCCCTCCTCACCCTACCCCCAAACTCCATGCTAACCTCTAACACGTAAGCTCTGTGGGGCGGGGCTCAGGAGCTGCGTGGGGGGTCTTTTCTCCCCCTGCCGTGGCTCTGCTCTCGCAGCCGGCCCCTGAGGATCTGTGACTGCCCAGTCTGAAGGCTTGGAAGGGTTACGGCCAGGTGATCGGCCCGGGGGAGAAAGTCCTCTTCTGCCTTTTGCCTTCTTCCATTCCTGTTTAATGACTCAGCCTTCAGCTGCCTCCCACCCTGGCTGCCTCCTTTTTCCTACCAGGAATTGCTTCCAGGTAACTTGCCTCAGGCAGTTTCCGGCTGCTCTCCTCAGCCTTGCCCACCTTCCCGTGACCCTGAGAGCACAGATCTGTGCGGAGCTCAGCTGGGAGGACCACCCCTGCCTGTCAGACTCTGCCCGAGGATGGAGATGGGTGGGCAAATGGTGCTGCGGGAGAAATTTTTACCTTCAAACCAGGCTGTTCCATCCCTGCACTAACCCCCTCGGACCCCTCTCCCCGTGAGGAAACAGAAGGCAGAGGATGGTTGACTGGCAGGGTCTGATCCCAAACCTTGCTGTGGCCTCAGCCTCCTGCAGCCATTCGGCCTGCCCCGGAGTGCTTCAGTGTGCGGGAGCTGCTGCTGACTTGTTTCTCCACCAGGCCTGCCCCCCCGCGCTCAGCCGCTCCCTGGGCTGACCCGGTCCCCGACTCGGTGACTGAACACCAGGCTCCATTAGTTGTCCAAGTGACTGCTTCCACCCAATACTTTTGGCGCTTGAGGATGGGGGGAGGGAGGGTTATTTAAAATAAAATCCAAGGTGGCAGTAGAGGATTCCTTTTGCTTTAAAATCTTTGGACTAAAAGAAAAATGTTTTTTATATATAAATATATAAAGTAAATTGTTATGTAACTATTACTGTTTCCTGTATGTTCTAATTTTGTTTTATGATGTAATTAAAGGAAATAAGCTGTGAAGACTTCTCATTTTGCCGGGGAAATAGCCTGACTCAGAGCTGTGATTCTTAACTTCCTTGAACTCTAGAACTGCAAAGGCTCCCGAGGCTGAATGAAGGGGCTTCTTTTTGGCATCCTTGTATTTGTTTAGTATTCTTTAATTAATACCCTTTATTTATTAATAGGCTTAATACCTTTTTAAGAGCCTTTAATACCCTGAACTCCACCTGTCTCTGAAGACGTAATATAAGTCAGAGTTTCTAAAAAACCTTTGTTTTAATTCATTTGACAGCAGCAATTCAACCTGAGTCCCCTATCTGTGCAGAGCATTGCCCTCACCTTGACTAGGAAGGAATGATGATGGAGTAGTATAATAGTTAAACAAGCTCCAAGCCGGAGTGCCTGACTTCCACCCGAATGACCTCAGCCAGTTGACCCTTCCATCTCCGTTCTTCATTGGTAGAGCGGGGATAACAGTACCTGCTTTAGAGTGTGAAGATTAAAAAAGATAATAATGACACATGGTAGATACTTGTTACCTGCTTTTATTCCCTTCGTGTCAACAAATATTTCAGGATCTAGTCTGTGCTAGAGGCTCCTAGGTTGAGAGATACACAAAAGTTAATGCAGTGGGGTCCCTGTCCTTTTGATGGAAATGAGCAGTGGAGCCAAGTCAGCAAGCTGAATTTCAATCTCAAGTTATCTACCCTGTTGTGAAACACCCTTGGGGAGCCCTGTGGAATTATAGGCCCCCTCAGTAGTAACTGAGGTAAATGATCAATAAGGAATTAAGCAGATATTTTTAAGAGGGCACATTGGCCTGTCTTCCACTCCATGCATATGGGTTTTCTCTTTTCAGTGTTTGACATTTCTTAAAGATTTATTTTAGTTATTATTATTTTTTTTTTTTAGAGCAAGGAGAGAGAAGATCTCCAGCAGACTCCTGATTGAGTGCTGAGTGCAGAGCGCCAACATGGGGCTCAGTCTCACAACCCTGAAATCATGACCCGAGTCAAAATCAAGAGTTGGAGGCTCATTCAGTTAGTTGAGCGTCGTTTGAGCGTCAGGCTCTTGGTTTCGGCTCAGGTCGTGATTTCACGGACATGAGATGGAGCCCTGAGCTGGGGTCAGCGAGGAGTCTGCTTAGGACTCTCTCCCTGCCCCCCGCCCCCACTCTCACGCATATGCACATGCACGCTCTCTCAAATCTTTTTTAAAAATGAGCAGAATAAGATACAGCTCATTGCCATTTTTTTTTTAATTAAAGACTATTTATTTATTTGACAGAGGCACAGCGAGAGAGGGAACACAAACAGGGGGTGTGGGAGAGGGAGAAGCAGGCCTCCCACCGAGCAGGGAGCCCGATGTGGGGCCCGATCCTAGGACCCTGGGATCATGACCTGAGCCAAAGGCAGACGCCCAACGACTGAGCCACCCAGATGCCCAACCATTTTTTTTTTTTAACGTTTTATTTTTTAGGGGCACCTGGGTGGCTCAGTCAGTTAAGTGTCTGCTTTTGGCTCAGGTCATGATCCCAGGGTCCTGGGATCAAGCCCCACGTCAGACTCCCTGCTCATAAATAAAATTCCCTACCCTGAAGAGTTTTCTATTCCCTTCATTCCTTTAAAAAAACAAAAGGATTTTTTTTTTTAAGATTTTATTAATTTATTTGACAGAGACACAGCGAGAGAGGGAACACAAGCAGGGGGAGTGGGTGAGGGAGAAGCAGGCTCCCCGCAGAGCAGGGAGCCCGATGTGTGGCTGGATCCCAGAACCCTGGGATCATGACCTGAGCCGAAGGCAGACGCTTAATGACTGAGCCACCCAGGTGCCCCAGGATTTTTTTTTAAGATTTTATTTATTTATTTGAGAGAGTTAGCGAGAGAGAGAGAGAGCCGGGGGAGGGGCAGAGGGAAAAGGAGAAGCAGACTCCCTGCTGAGCAGGAAGCCCAACATGGGCTCCATCCAGGGACCCCAGGATCATGACCTGAGCAGAAGGCAGACCCTTAACTGACTGAACCACCCAGGTACCCTACATCTCTAGAAGTTTTAAATAAGCACAGTGATTTGATAGTTGAATGGTCTTTTAGAGGCTTTAGTGATTAGTTTTTGCCCAAACTAGTTGGGAAAAAAAAAATCCATCCAGATTTATTTATTCCTCTGTCTCAGACTCCATCCTTTGCCCTAGTCTATAGTTTAAGTAAGGAGAGAACATTTCCCCAAGAGGACCAAAACACCAAGGAAATTGAACAAGCATTGAACAACATATTAAATATATATGCCTTTTGTTTTATTTATTTATTTATTTATTTTAAAGATTTTATTTATTTATTTGAGAGAGAATGAGAGACAGAGAGCATGAGAGGGAAGAGGGCAGAGGGAGAAGCAGACCCCCTGCCGAGCAGGGAGCCCGATGTGGGACTCGATCCCGGGACTCCAGGATCATGACCTGAGCCGAAGGCAGTGGCTTAACCAGCTGAGCCACCCAGTCGCCCCTATATATGCCTTTTAGAATTAACTATTAATATTAAGGAAAGGAAAGGGTGAATACAATTTTAAATAAACGTGAATCAGTGCACCCAGTGTTCAGGCAGCACTGCTTGGGGCAAAGGCGCCTTATCCATATTGGCAGGTTCCATGCCTCTCAGGCTTGGCCAGCTGAGCTGAGCTTGGGAGGCTGTGCCCAGGTTCCACCAACTGAGCAGAGAGATGGGAGCCTGGGGGCTGCTCCCCTCCTCTCTAGGGGGTAGGACATCCCGCTTCACCCAGAGCCGGATGAAGCAGCTGAGGATTTAAGCAAGGCTTCTGGTGAACGTGGGGCCCCCGAGAACCAGGCTGGCATCAGTCTCCTACTCTTGCAGCAGGATGTCCCTGGGCCTAGGTGAGAACCAGGTAGTAGCCATCTGGATTCTGCACTGGAAGCAATGAAAAGGGCACCACTGGGATGAGACAAGCCAAGCACCACTTCTGTGCTGCTCCCAAACCAAGCAGCTGGGAGTGCACCTGCCACTCCCCAGTGTTCCTCCTACCCCAACTAGAGGAAGCCTCCCTCTGTCCTGTAGGAGGGATAGAGGGCACGCATCTGAATAACCAGCACCATAAGCCAAGTGGCCAGAGGTGCTCTGTGCCAGGGGATGTCCAGCAAGCATCTTCTGCATTGTAGGATGGTGGGAGTGGGGCAGAAGAGAGAGGGGGCCTTACTTTCCCCTCTATTAAATTCCCTGACCCAGACACTGGGATGTTTTATCCCTGAGCGGTAAATAGCTGCCTTGCAGCCACGTGAATCTGTCCCTTTGACACCAACAAAGCTGGCATTCAGATGTTTCCAGTTGACTAGAACGCAGCACTGGCCCCGCCCCACCCCCAGCATACACACACCTTCAAGGAACCTTTTAATCTCATTTTAGGAGACAATATAAACACAATCTTGCCCTTTCTAGGGCCTGCCCGATACACTTCTCTCCCCTCCAAAACCCCTACCTTTTTTCACCACAGCCACAAAGTATGATTCATCCTTAAGATTCTGAACCACCTGCAGGGGAGAAGGGGTCACTGAGACAGTGCTGTTCTTAAAGCCAAACAGAAGAAGCCAGGGCAGGGAGAGGGGCCTGAGGTGGGAGAGGGATCAAGGCCCTTGTGGGGCCTGGCCAGAGCCGGGGCTCACCTACCTGGTCACTGAGGAGAATTAGGACGCCCCCGGGGCCTTGGTGAAAGAGGTAGTGGATCTGATTGGCCGGGAGGGCCAAGAGCTCAGCCAGTTTCCCCATCAGCTCAACAGCACTGAGTTCATCTAGAAAGATCTCTTGATAAAAGCCTGGGGGTGTGGGCAGCACAGGGCAGGGATCAGTATATGTGTGCGGGGGGGAGCTGAGGGAGCCCCAGAGACCAGGAAGAAGGAGAGGGCAAGGTGATAGCCTCTTGGGGAGTGGGGGCAGGAAGGAGTAAAGAAGCAAAAAGGTTTATAAATCCACTTAATCCTCACCTATTCCTCAGCTTTGGGGAGGCCTCAGACCGAGGGGAGCCCCCAACTTAAAAAGGGGGGACACCTACATACAAATGACTGAAACCCAAATACAATGATTACAATGTTCTAATCCCACGTATCAACAATGACAAAGTCAGATGGGTTTGGGGAGTAGAACATGGAGGAGTAAGCCCAGGGGACATCTTGGAAGGAGAGGACTGATCTGGTCATGGAAGACGGGAATGCCAAGGAAGGCATGCTGGGTCCCAGGAATGATGGAGGATCACCCTCTCCCCAGGCCCGAAGAGGTTTCGCGCAGCCACACCTGAATCTCGCCTGGAGAGAGAGGCCAGAACCTCACCTGAGTCAGGGTTCTTAGGAACCTCGTTCTCTTGCCTAGAGGCCTCCTGAGCCACATACAAAGTCCGCCGGTGACGAATGGGCCTGGGCCAGGAAAACAGTTTACCTATCAACACTTCATACCTAAATTAACAGCCCCCTCCCTGGGAGGGATCCCGCCTCCTCCCAGGTCTCCAGGGAGGGAGGTCACCACTCATTTCTTAGAAATTTAATGAATGCTGGACCCTGCAGGGAGAGATGAGAAAAATCCATCTCTGTCCTCAGAAATGGAGTGATGCGGGTGGGATGGCTACAGAAAAAGATCACAGGAGCCTCACTTTCTAGCCCATCCCTGCCATCTTCGCTCTGTGACCCCAGGGAGGTCACTGTCCGTGGGCCTCAGTTTCTTCCTCTGTAAAAAGAGGGTATGGGACTAAGTGGTCTTTAAGGTACCTTCCAGCTTGAACATGCCATGAGACACAACCATTAGCCAAGTTGGTAAACGCCACTACAGAGGGAAAGGGATTCTGGTTGGCAGTGCGCAGCACCTGGCTCTAAGAGCGTTGAAAAGGCGGATCCCATCGGCAGCCCCGCAGATCTGGATAAGGTCCTGACGGGTAAGCTTCAGCAGATCAGTGCCTGCAGAGTCAGACAGGGCCCGATTGGGGGAAGAGGCCTGGGGTCAAGGGTGGCAAGGGATACAACCCAACATTAGTCTACAAATCGCCCTAGCATGTCCAGACATGGGGATCAAACTTGGATTCAAATCCCAGTTCTGCCCCTTGCTTGTTAGCTGTGTGTCTTTGGGCAAGTTATTTAACCTCTCTGAGCCCCATCCGCACGGGTAGTATATAAATTATATGGGGTGATACAGGAGAGGAGAGCCAAGCAGGCATAGTGCCTGGCAACTCTCAGTCCTAGAGAGAAGTTAGCTGAAGAACACACAGCAAGCCAGGCCACAGGCAGACGTCCTGCCCTCAGCCCCCTACAGGTAAGGTCCCTGCCGGACCCCAGCCTCACCAGTGAAGTTGGCCAGCACCCGGCAGTAGCTGGAGAACTGGTGCCGATGCAACCACTGCTGCGTCTCTAGGATGGAGGCTCCAGGGTTCAGATCCTGCGGCACGAAGAGGGCAGTCCAGGTTGTCACCATGGGCGCACGGACTGAGAACGGGGTAGGAGAGACACAGCCCCCTGCCCTTGGCGGGCCCGCGTCTGAGAGCCCGCAGGCTCATCGCCCAGTCCTCTCAGCAGTTTGGCCATCTGCGGCCATACAAGCTCTGTCCAGCAGGGGGCAGCGCCACCCCATTCCGCAGAGGCCGCTGAAGCCCCGAGGAGGCTTTGAGACACAGGTGGGGGGATTGGAAAGGCAAGACGCACCTCAGCGGGGCTGCCCCCCAAGGTGTCCAAGGCGAACGGCGGGGAGGAGCAGAGCCTGCAGGGGAGCAGAGAGTCGGCAGTGCAGCCAGCCCCCAGCGCCACCCCCCCTTCCCTGGGAGGCAGAGCTTGCTGGGGTCCCCCCCCCCCGCCCCACGGGTTACCCAAAGGCCACAGAGCTGAGCCTCTTGCCCTCAGCCGCACCCTCGACCCTGCCCCTCCCCGGATGCCTGGGCTGTGGGGCTCTTCTCTTCGCGCTCAGCCCGGAGGCCCGAGCGGGGCCCACCGCGCCTCACCTCCCCGGGGACAGGGGCTTGCAGCCGTGGGGAGACGTCAGAGCAAGAGGGCTGAGCGGCGAGGAGGGCCCTGCACTGGGGTCCGGCCACGGCGAACACTGTGGGGCAAACAAGCCGCAAGGTTCCGCCTACACGTTGCGAGGCCAGGGGCGGCTCTTCCCTCACCTCCGTCGGGCGGGAGCTGGCGGGGGGCGGGGGGGGGGCGCCCGGGGCCACACTTGGCCCCCGCCCTAGGAGGCCCGGACGAGTGGACCAAACGCTACTCAAGGGAAGAGAGTAAACCAGCCCGCCGGGCTGGCGGGGGCAGCTGGGGAAGCTTCCAGGAGCCGCTAGCCAGAAGCGGCAGCAGGAAGGGCAACGCTCCAGGCAGAGGGCGCCGCGGCGAGGCGGGCGATGGCGGGAGCGGGCGAGGCCGCCCGGGAGGCTGCAAGGCGTTCGCGCCTGAGCCTTGACCACACGGTGCGGCTTTGTCCTTGCAGGGAACAGGCGGAATCAGTGGGGATTGTGATGGTCCTGCAGCAGCCACGGCCCTCAGGCCTCAGTTTCCCGGCACGCGCAATGAGGATCCTTCCTCCAAACCCGCTCTGCGGCGCGCGGCGCCCCGCCACACACCTCGGCGAACACCGTGCTCGCACAGGCAGCCTGGTACTGGTGTCTCTCCCGCAGGGGCTGTTTCTCCAGCTTCTCCCGGTCTGTTTTCAGCTTGCGGTCAGCTCCTTTGGGCTACAGGCGAGGGACAAGGGCAGCTCAGAGCGCCCCCCCCCCTTACCTGCCCCCTTCTCACAACAGAAGGGGCTCCAAGCAAGAGATCAAGGCCCATCCCTCTGTGCATAGACAAGGGGCTGCCGGCCGAGCAGGGTGACAGTCCTGAGGGGGAGGGGGAGGGGCCTGCCTGTACCTTGAACACCTTGATGAGGCACCCCGCTGAGTGCAGGTGCTCAGGTGGAAGGTCCTTGTCGCTGGGCTTGAAAGTGTCAATCTGGAGGCGGAAGGGGACACCTTTCTCCCCACCTTTCTTCCGAGGAGTGAACTCGGTGCTGATGCAGTGAACCTGAGGTGAAGAAGAAGCAAAGAGAAAGCAGGGTGACTCCAGGTCCCACCCACATTCAAGCAAGTCCACCTTCAAACCTGTCACCTGCCTGTCACCTGTCAGCCTTTTACCACGGCAACTTTCCATCCCCAACTGCAGTTTATTTCTTAATGCGTACCTTTATTAGGTTCTTTCCCTTGTTCAAAATCCTTCAGTAGCTCCCCATGGTTATGGGATGAGAAGCAAAGTTCCTGACCCTCATGTTTGAGCCCCTTAAAGAGTCATGTCAAGCCTCTCTGCATGGCTGCTCTCTCTCCCCCATCAGAGAACACACTGACCCACCGAGCCAGCCTAATCGTGGCCCCCAATACTCTTGCATAGTTCTCCCTAGAATCTTCTACCTGAAAAGCAATGCCTGCTCCTATCTAAGCCAAAATGCCCCATTCCAGGGTAGAGTTGCCAGTTAAAATGCAGGCATGCCCTGTTAAATTTGAATTTCAGGTAAACAACAATTTTTTAGTATAAATATATCCCAAATATTTCGTGGGACATTCTTCCCCTCACCCCATGGGACATTCTTTTTTTTAATTATTTAAAGATTTTTATTTATTTATTTGACAGAGAGAGAAACACAGCGAGAGAGGGAACACAAGCAGGGGGAGTGGGAGAGGGAGAAGCAGGCTTCCCACTGAGCAGGGAGCCCGATGCGGGGCTCGATCCCAGGACCCTGGGATCAGGACCTGAGCTGAAGGCAGATGCTTAACGACTGAGCTACCCAGGTGCCCCTAGACCTCACTCTAATGGCTACATAATTTCTAGTGTACGTCTGCACTCAAACTTATGTAAAAGTCAATTGTCTTCCAACGTGCATTTTGAATGTTTAAAGTCTTTGAATATGAGAAAGAGCGCTGCTATGAAGGGCTGGTCACTATATCTTCATGTAGGGAGCGCCTGGGTGGCTCAGTCGTTAAGCATCTGCCTTTGCCTCAGGTCATGATTCCAGGGTTCTGGGATCAAGTTCCGCATCGGGCTCCCTGCTCAGAGGGGAGTCTGCTTCTCCCTCTCCCTCTGCCTGCCACTCTGTCTACTTGTGCTCTCTCTTTCTCTGTCAAATAAATAAATAAAATCTTTAAATATATATGTATATATATCTTCATGTACTTATTGAACACTGCTGTAGGATGAATTTCTTGAGATGGAACCACTGGGGGGCTGGCACCTGGGTGGCTCAGTCAGTTAGGTGCCTGACTCTTGGTTTCAGCTCAGGTCATGATCTTGGGGTCTTGAGATCAAGTCCTGCTTTGGGCTCTGTGCTGGACGTGGAGCCTGCTTGGGACTCTTTTCCTCTGCCGCCCCCCCCAAATAAATAAATAAATCTTAAAAAAAAAAAAAAGGAATGACAGGGTAGAATGCTAGGAACATAAAATTCAATAAATTTTGCCCAAGTGCCATTCTACCCACAGAATGAGTGCACAATTTCTAATTTTTTTTTTTAAGGAGCTAGAAGTTTATTGAATACACCGCAAGGGGGCAGCAGGCAGACAGCAGAGAGGCCGTCTGCCTCCCCAAACTACTTCTTCACCAATAAGTCTTTTTTTAAGTCTTTGCCATATATATATATATATATATATATATATATATATATATATATATGCATTTAATTAACATTTTCTGAGGTTGAGTTTGAACTGTCTACATTTATTGGTAATTTGTATCCTTCTTGTCTGCTTATATCCTTTGCCTATTTTTCTACTGAGCTTTCATCTACTTTTTCTTATTGATATATGAGAACTTTTTATATATTGAGGATATAAAGCATTATATGTCATATGACAACTATTTTTCCCATTTGATGTCTCCTTTTAATTTTGCCTATGTATTGCAGACCATTACTTTTTATGAAGCTAAGTTCTGTCCTGAGTTTTCTAGCTTCTTCCAATGCTTTAAGGTTTAACAAGTCCTTCCTTGTGGTGAGATTCAATAAACATTTAGCCATATTTTATCTTCAAGGTGCTTTCTGGAAGCGGTTTGTTCTTACTGTTCCCTCACCCCCACCCAAACTCACCTTCCTTTCCCACCTAGGCTCCTGCCACTCCCATCTGACCTCAAGCCTCCTCCCAGTCCCAGCTTCAGACTCACCTGCAGGAAGAGGGAGGTCCTCTTGGTCGGGTCCCAATGAAACTCCACTGTGTTGAGTTGTGAGGGCAGCACCTGGGGTTCTATCAGCCCCACGGACAGTGGCACATCTGTAGGCATGGGGTGGCAAGCAGGGAGCAAGCCTCAGCCTCCCCGCCCGCCCCTGCCATCCACGTGGCCTTCCAAGCCAGAAAGCGGCCCTGAAGGGTCCCTGGTCCCTCCCCATTCACCGATGTCCAGGATGCGGTCCCCTGGCCGGCTCCATCTCCACCCATCCAGCTGCTCTTGCTCTGTGTACTGCAGGCGCCGGTCGTGGAAAACCACACGCACCACGCTCTGGAGGCACAGGAAGTCACGGCTCACAGGTCAGAGGGTGCCTGGGCATTTGGGAACCAGTTCCCACCGCTGGGGTAGGCCAACCATCCCACCCTCCTCGCCCCCACCTTGCTTCCCACCTTCACAGGTCATAAGCACTTAGATCGCTAGGTCCGTGTCCAGACGCCCACCTGCCACTCACTAGCTATGAAACTGGGGAAGTGACCTAGACACCCTGAACCTCAGTTTCCTTATCTGTGAAATGGGGGAGTTAATCCTTTCCCACTCTTAGCCACTCTACTTGTTTCTTTTCTTGCTGCACTTTTCAATTTGCAATTGGTAAGTCGATTTGTTATTGCATATAACTTGTTTAATTACATGTTTGTCTCAGTAGAATGCAAGCTCCCTGAGGAAGGGAACCACATCTGTCTCTTTACTGTTGAATCCCTAGCTCATAGAATAGTTTCTGGCAAAGCATGGGAGCTAAATATATAATTTTTTGGAGAGAAGGAATCATGCATGTGAATAATGCTATGTAAATGTACTTCTAAATCCCAGATCCGCTATTTTGTGTCCTTGAGAAAATATTTAACCTCTGTGCCTCTTTCCTCAACAATGCCTGCCTACCACTGTGCGGCTATGAAGGTCAAGTTAAAAGGTGGACTCGAGAGGGTTCTACTCGACAGTCACATCACAGTGATGACATTGGCTTCCTGCCCAGAGGGACAGTCATGCCTGGCCCTTGCCAGTTCGGGAAGGGGATGCATCTACCTTCAACAGCTGGGCCCACTGGGTAGCATCGCTCAGCTTGGGGTTGCACAGCATCCGCACCTCATAGGACTGGCCTGGGAGAGGTCAAGGGGATGTGTGAGCCCCACTGGGGCAGAGATGGAGCCTGCCACCCCCATCTCGCACTGCCCCACTACGCCTTTTCCTTCCCCAGTCCCAGCAGCATACCCTGGTTCAGGTAGGTGAGGGTCTCTTCCTGCTGCTTCACAGCCGGGGAGGTGGCTGCACAGAGAACGTACTGGAATGTGGGGCAGGGAGGCTCCGAGCTGGGGATGTTGTGCAGCTCTTCCTGCTTCAGGTAGGGCAAGGGCAGGGACTCCCTGTTGGCGGGGGAGGGGAACACCGGTGGCTTCCACCCCATCCCCTGTAGGGCTTTGACTCTCTCTGCCAGATCCTCAGGGAGCCAAAGGCTTCTGTAGCAGGCACTCCAGCAGCAACCAGGGCCTGAGAGTCCCCCACTCAACTCCTCTGGCCTCTGGGAGACCACCCTTTAGGGGCAAATTCCAGATACTACCAAACATCTCCAAAAACCTGCCATCAATTACTTGTTTGCCATCTCAGGGCTTATCTGATACCAAGTAAATGCCCAACAAAAGTGCCCTGAGAGGGTGGGTGGTCAGGGTGTTTCAAGATGGTCCAGGATCGGGGCACCTGGGTGGCTCAGTTGGTTAAGCGACTGCCTTCGGCTCAGGTCATGATCCTGGAGTGCCAGGATTGAGTCCCGCATCGGGCTCCCTGCTCGGCAGGGAGTCTGCTTCTCCCTCTGACCCTCCCCCCTCTCCTGCTCTCTCTCTCTCTCATTCTCTCTCTCAAATAAATAAATAAAATCTTAAAAAAAAAAAAAAAAAGATGGTCCAGGATCCACTAAACGTTCAACCACTCCCCTACCCACAAAGGCACCCAAGCACAGGAAGCCCATCCCTCTCCGCTTGAAACGGATGGCCCTATCTGTCCACCGCAGCTCCGACCAGGACCATCCTTGGAGGCTAGGGGAAGGGGTTCTGGCTCTTACCTGAGCAAGCCAGTTGGAGGCCCTGGGTACAGTTCCCCGGGACTGGGCCATAGGTGCTCTGGCTGGTTGTGCCAAAACAGCATCTTGGAAAGGGAGCAGGGCCAGCTGTCCGACAGAGAGCTCAGCACTGGGTTGGGCTGGCCCCCCTGAACTGTCCACCTGGGGCCCCAGGCTTTATACACAGAAGCAAACCCACAAAAGGGTGGGGCAAGGCCAGGAACCTTCTATTGGCTGCGCATCCAGGGCTCTAGAAAACATGGGACCTGTCAGGCACTCCAAGGGGGGGGTGTCAAGAAATGGTGTCCCCAGGGCTCCCCACCAATCATTAATTCAAAGGGGAGATGGTGGTGCTGCAAAACAAAGTCCCAGGGGTGGACATCCACTCCCCACCATTTCCCAAGGGGCTCGGGAACAATGAGGGGCACCCTCAGGCTTCAAGATTGGCCCCAGATCAGTAAACCGTGGAGAGTCCTGGAGGTGCATGGGCCTGGACCCCTCACATGACCCTGGGAGAGGGGCCTGACCGCTCCAGGGGACAGGATGAGGAGACACACAGCATCGCATGGATCTACAGAAGGCCTTCACTCCCACTGGCCTCCTGTTTCTCCCCTCCCCACCGCCCCAGGTGCAGCCATGACAGGACACCTGTCCTTCTGCTGGGGGCTGTCCGGCTAGGGGCCTGCAGTTTACAGAACATAGTGCAGCTTGCTGTGGAAACAACTCTGGCTGGCGCTGGGAGGGAGAGCCCAAGTGTGGGGAGGAGGGCATGTGCCTGGGAGTGCCTCCTCCCAGGGCAGTAGGAGAGGAGTCCCAGGCCGGTGGTGTTTTTGCTCCTCCTCTGCCTGGGGGCATGGGGCCCACTGTGTTTATGGACAAATAAGGTCTGCCTGGGGGATGGCTTCTTCCCCACACTCAACCCCAGTTGTCATTGTACACAGACGGGGGTGGGGGTGGGGGGGTGGGGATAGGGGTGTTATGCCCACCCCCCACTACTGTGTTTGGTATAAACAGATGAGGGCCTTACAAAGAGCAGAAACAGGCTTGAAAGATGTGGCCTGGCCTCATGTGACCCCAGCTTTCCAGGCTTTGTGATTCTGGGGGGCCTACCTGAGCGAGAGAGAAAACCGAAGAGTACCCCCCCCCCCCCGACACCAGGCAGGGCATCTCCATCTCCAGGCACCTGGCCCTTGGTCCTCTCCATGCTTTCCCCTCCCATGAAGCCAGACGAAATGGAAGGGGGAGAAAAAGGGGATGGGAACATGCCTGCCAGTAGGGACCAAAGAAGCCTGAGTCCCCAAGATCCCCATGATAAGCTCCCCAAGACTCTGAGAACCCATCCATTGCCCAAAGTTGGATTCAAGGCCAGAGGCCCCCACAAAACCCTCCAAGGTTGGAGAGAGCGGGACTGCAGGAAGGCCAGGGGAAGGGGAGTCAGAGGGGACCCAACAGGGCTGGGCCCTGGCCTGAGGGGAGCAGGGGGTAGGGGTGGTGGGGGTGGGCAGAGGAGATGGGCAGCTGAGTGGAGGCTTGTTTTAGGGGTGGAGGTAGAAAAGGTAGAGGCTGGTATGGGCCCCCTTCCTCCTTCCAGGAAGACACCGTGAGGAGCCAGTCAGGGGAGTGGGTGGGACTCCAGTTCCAGAACCCAATCCCCCACCACTTGGCCTCCACCTCCAAAGGCCTCTGTATCCTCCCCCTTCTTCCCCCCTGAGGCTGCCTCTCCCCAGCTCTCTTAGCTACTCCTTCTTTCCACGCATCTCAGTCTCTGTGCTCTGTCCCCATCCAGATGGTGTTGGGCCTGTTCCTGGTTTTCTTTGGCTCTCCCGCTAAAGACAAAAAGCTGGGTTTGAGGCAGACAGATCCTGGCCAGTCCCAGCCCCCACCTCACTCTGTGCCCCCTGAACCAGCACAGCACAGGGTCTGAACGGCCCATCCCTCTGGCCAGAGAGGCCCTAAGAAACTTCTGGCCCAGGTCTCCCACTCTCAGAGGACCAGGCTCTGGGAGGTGTGAGGTGTGAGGCCCCTCCAAGCAGGGGCACTTAAGGCACGTTACCTTCCTGAACGCCCTTTCCTCCTCTAAAATCGGACGAGGTCTCCCTCCTATTCAGTGTGGGAGTGAAATTCTTTTTTTTTTTTTTT